ATATTATCCAATGTATGTAACCATATAGGGAAAATCGGATGTATGATCTCATGTTAACCATATATGGAAAATGTATGATCTCACTGAATCCTTTGTCTTAGAAATGTATAAAACCAGTTGTATCAGAGTTCTCTCCTTGTTCAAAGCTTTAAGTACAAAACTGGCTCTGAACCTTGCGCAATAAAACTGTCTCTGACTGACCCAGGAATGTTGTTTGGTCTCATCATTCCACAACACGGTTGTTAAGCGAATCTGGCTTCCCCATTCACTTTGCTTGCCAGAAAGTCACAACAGGGGATCTCGTGACCCCAGCACGCTGCAACGGTCATAAATACGAGTCAGTTGCCCAATATCCAAATTTTTATCACATGAAGATGGGGAAAGTGCAACGGTCGCTTTTACGAAAACCCACCATAAGTCACTTTTGTCAGTGCCCTAACTTCGACAGTAAATGAACCGTTGCAAAACGAGGACTGCCTCGATTGGCCAGCGGCCAGGTTAACACCTGTCATTCTTTCCACTTTCAACAAACCAGGTACCTTAGCCATAACGTCTCTTGTACAAGTGAATAATTAAAGTGTCTTTTTGTTAAGAAAAAAGCCGATCTTAATTCGGGCTTAATTCCAAACTCCGGTGTGAAATTATTATTAAGTGCGAAATTATAATTGCACTCCAGCGTGACATTATTAATACTGCTATTATTGTCGCTCTTCAGATTGTCATTTTTATAGCAGCTGCGGCTTTGCTAGCCTCCCACGTATCAAGACATTCCAAGTGGCAGAATAAGCCAAAGTACGATTCAATAACCTCGGACTGGCCTCCCCCAGCCTTCCTTTTCTATCTGTTTTGAGCGTCTAATAAAACCAGGATCATCTGCCTTCTAAAACCTTTGGGAGCTTATAAACCAAACCAAGATGGTTTGTGCGCAAACAGGTAACCCTTCAAGCTCAGGACGGCAGCGCCCGACCAACTACACCAAACAAACCCGGTTACCCCAGCAAGTTTTTTTTCCTTTCCAAAATAAAACTTTTGGTGAGAATCGAACTGCTGAACTGCTGGCAGCCAGCAATCAGCAGAAGTAGCCTGCAGTACCACATTCTAACCACTGCGCCACCACAGCAACCATTCAAAGCTACAAAGGCCCTGGGAAAAGTTACTTATGACTTGTCCTCACACTTATGACCACTGCAGCATCCCCTTGGGATCAAAATCCAGGCACTTGGCAACCAGCATGTATTTGTGTCCTCTTTTGTGACCTTCCCGGCTGGCTTCCGATAACAAATGGGGGAAGCCAGATTCGCTTGACGAACATGTGGTTCACTTAACGACGGCAGTGATTGGTTTAACCATCATCGCAAAAAAAGGTAGAAAAATGGGCCATGACTCATTTAGCAACCGCTTTATTTAGCAATGGAAATTCCTACACCGATTGTGGTCGTAAGTCGAGGACTCCCTGTGTAATGAAAGGGTTGAGTTTGCTATGACATCGGGGGGTGTGTGTCAAAAAAGGAAAGATGGTTAAGTTCTTTTCCTGAAATGAAGACACACAAAAAGAACTCCGTGGAATTTGCTGCTTGGCCACACGGAGCAAGGAATGAAACAGCCAGAAATGAATCTTCCCACAAATAATAGAATAACGGAGTTGGAAGGGGTCTTGGAAGTCATCTAGTCTGACCCCACCCTGCTTGAGCAGGAGATCCTTATACCCTTTCAGACAAATGGCTGTTCAGTCTCTTCTTGAAAACCTCCAGTGTTGAAGCATCTACAACTTCTAGTGGCAAGCTGTTCCACTGGATTAATTGTTCGCTGTTGGGAAATTTCTCCGTAATTCTTGGTTGCTTCTTTCTTTGATTAGTTTCCATCCGTTGCTTCTTTTCCTGCCTTCAGGGGCTTTGGAGCAGGGGTCCCCAACCTTTTGGACCTCGGGAACCACTAAATTCATAATTTTAAATCCCGCGGACCGCTAATATGATCTGCCTAATGACTGGCTGGGTGGGCGTGACTAGGTGGTCATGTGACTGGGTGGGCGTGGCCAACTCAATGTCATTCACATCGAGGGGTGCCCGCCCCTCCCCTCCCAGCCCCTCCTCCCCTCCCTGCCCAGGCTCCATAGGGCCCCAAGAGAAAGCAGTTGTTGGAGCTAAGCAGCCACCATGAGAAAAAGTTGGCAGAACAGCTCTGTTCAGATTGGATCTGGCTGAGAAGGAGCACCTCACTGAGGACTAGGAGCATAGGCTTTCCAAGCAGAGGGAAGACCTGCGGGAGTGCAAGGCCAGGTACCGGCACCTGGAGGCTCAGTGGACTGAGATGGTCAGCCAGTTCCAGGCCATGATGCAGTCCCACTGGAACGAGGCTCTCCGGCTCTTCTCCATAAGTGGCACGTCCCTCCAGCCTTTGCCCAAAGCCCCCCACCAGGAGGCCGAAGCAGACCCCGAGTCTGAATTCCTGCCCCCCTCCGACCCACACAAGAAGACCCCGAAGAGAGAGACTCTCTACAGCAACACAAGCATTCATTGCATTGGACCGTAGTTTGAGGACCCCTAATTCAGTGCAATATAAAAATTGCAAATAATTTTTCGCTGCGGACCACCAACATTTTCTCACGGACCACCAGTTGGTGACCGCTGCTTTGGAGAATAGGTGGACCCCTTCTGCTTCTTTGGGGCAGCCCCTCAAATAATGGAGGATGCTATCATGTCCCCCCCCAGTCCTTCTTTCCATTAAAGTGGACCTACCCAATTCCTGCAACCGTTCTTCGTATGTTTCATCTCTCCAGTCCCCTAATCATCTTTGTTGCTCTTCTCGGCATGTTTTCTAGAGTCTCAACATCTTTCTTTCTTTTTTTTTTAAACATTCTGGAGACCAAAAACCGGATGCCAATTTCCAAGCGTGGTCATCTGCCCCTTTGCAAGGGACATGTGTGCACCTTTGCACCTGTTCAAACCGAAATCCCTAAGGCCCCGCATCCCACCACCCGCTCCGCGCTCTTAGCCCACTGTATGCAAACTAAGCCGTAGCGCCATCAGCCATTTATAAAAAGCAGGCAGATCCGTGAGAAAAATCTCGCCGCCCCTTTCCACCAAACCCACTCTTCCTCTCATGCGCAAATAATCCAGAAGGCAAACATGCCAGGCATCTCTGTTTTTTTAATGAAATTTTCCCCCAAGTTAAGCGAAGGGGAGGGAGAAGGGCGTCTGGAGTTTTCAACACGCGGCCCGCAATATTTGCAAAGGCTGGGTCCCTCTTGCACACCGCACAGATTTAAACCACTTCCTGGCTTCGCAAAATAACACCGTCTTTTCAAGACCCTCGCTGGACCCACAACCCCCAAATTGGTTTTAATTTTTTTTTAAAAAAAAATAAAAGGTTGGTCTTTTAACTCGATGAGCCACGCCAATTTTTTTCTTTCTAAGCCTGTAGGGTACTTCACTGGTCCTCTATTCCAACTGGAAAGTTTTCCATTGGAGAAGTCAGCCCCAGGGGAGAGCTGCATTCTACTTTATTTCTTTCAAATAGAGATATATGTGTGTGTGTGTGTGTATTTTTTTAAAAAAAGGAATGAAGAGGCATTTATGGTTGTGCTTGTGGCTTAGCATTTCTACAAACCAGGAAAGAAAGAAAAAAAATATGGGGGTGGGGGGGAAATGGAAAGGAGTAATTGATTGGTGGGATGAAATGGCAGAAGTCAAAACTGATAAGACACACAGTCATAGTCACAATCTCTCTCTCTCATCTCTCTCTCTCTTTCTCTCTCTCTCATCTCTCATCTTTCTCTCTTTTTCTCTCTCTTTCTCCCTCATCTCTCTTTTTCATTTCTTTCTCTCTCTCTCTCACCTCTCTTTCTTTCTGTCTCCATCCTTCTCTCTCTCTTTCTCTCATCTCTCTCTCTTTCTCTTTCTCCCTCATCTATCTCTTTCATTTCTCTTTCTCTCTCTCTCTCTCACCTCTCTCTCTTTCTTTCTGTCTCCATCCTTCTCTCTCTCTCTTTCTCTCTCATCTCTCTCTCTCTCTCTCATCTCTTTCTCTCTTTCTCCCTCATCTCTCTCTTTCATTTCTCTTTCTCTCTCTCTCTCTCACCTCTCTCTCTTTCTTTCTGTCTCCATCCTTCTCTCTCTCTCTTTCTCTCTCATCTCTCTCTCTCTCTCTCATCTCTTTCTCTCTTTCTCCCTCATCTCTCTCTTTCATTTCTCTTTCTCTCTCTCTCACCTCTCTCTCTTTCTGTCTCCATCCTTCTCTCTCTCTCTTTCTCTCTCATCTCTCTCTCTCTCTCATCTCTCTCTCTTTCTCCCTCATTTCTCTCTCTTTCATTTCTCTCTCCCTCTCTCTTTCTATCTCCATCCTTCTCTCTCTCTCTCTCTTTTTTTACAATAGTCCACATGTCTGTCCGCCTCTCCAGCATGGATAAGCGCGCTGCCTGCCAGGCTACCATAGCAAATTCGCCCCGATCTACGAGCGGGAGGGGGGCGGGAGTCTGTTTTCTTCCCAGCTCTTTCAGCCAGGGGAAGGGATGGAGGCGGGGGTGGGGTCGGAGGCGTTTCCCCCCCTCCCCCAAATCCCGAGCAGGGTCCCAGCCAGGCACCCCTGGCTAATAAATCCAGAGAGGGGGGCACGAGGAAGGAAGGGATGGGGTGGGGGAGGCGGAGAGAGAGAGAGACCTGGCCAAGAAGCCAGAATTCATGGCCGGGAAGGAAGGGTGGGAGAAAGAGAGAGATGTGGGGTGGGGGGGAGGGTTGGGAAGAAGCCTCGGCCTTGCCACGAATAGCAAGACGACCCCTCCCCAATTTCTCCTGCCCTTTGGACTCAGCCGAGCCTTTCCCGCCCCCCTCCCGGTGCCGAGGCTTAACCCTTCCCGGGCTGCAAAGGGAAAAGGATGGAAAGGTTCCGAGAAGGAGACCCCCACTCACAAATAGAGACCCTCCTCGGCTCAACCCCTCCACCAGGTTGCCTCCCCCCCTTTCTCCCCTCCCCTGGCCGCACCTGCGGGGTCCCCGGCGCCTTACCTGCAGCGGCCACCTCTCCTGGTCCAGCAAGCGAAGATGCAGGGATGCGCAGGGGCTGCTTCGGGGGGGGGGCGCGGCTCAGGAGCTGCCCGGGCCCGCGGAGGGGCTGGCGGGCGAGGCGCCGCCCGGCTTGGGAAGGGGAGGCGGCCAGCTCCCGACCCTCTGGCCGGCTGGGCAGAGACGCGGCGGTGAGGAGGAGGAGGAGAGGAGGAGGAGGAGGAGGAGGAAGGGCGCTTCCTCTCCTCTCCCACAGGGGGCGCCCGCCCCCTCTCCGCGCGCGCTCAGCAGCTGTGCCCGGGGAGCGCAGCTGGCGCGGCGCGCAAAGGCTGGGGAGGGGGCGCAAAAAAAGCCCTTTGTTGCCTTTGCAGCGCCCCCCCTAGCTCGGCTTGCAGAGGAAGAGGAGGAAGATGCTGCAGAGGCTTCAGCACCCGGGAGATGAGAGGGGTGGGGTGGTGGTGGGGGGAGGTGCTGGGTTGGCAGCCCCCACCTCTCCGCGCCCCCCACCCACTTATCCACTCCAAGCCGGCAGCGCAGCGGGCCACCCAGCTGCCTGCAAACGCAGCGCTTTTTTTTTTTGTGCCCGGCGGTGGGTGGGTGGGTGGGTGGGCTGCCTGTCTGGCTTAAAAAACCCCTTTCTGGGGGAGAGGCTCCGCCAGGCTGGATGCCACGCGTGACTGCCCCTTGCACGCCCCCCGGCTTTTCTTCTCTTCCCTCCCTCCCTCTCTCCGTCCTCGCCCACCCACCCAGCCAAGGTCACCCCAAGCTGTGGATGCTGGGAGGGAGCGACAAGGGGGGGGCGTGTTCGCGCGTGTAGTGGCCGGGCCGGAGTGGGGGCGTGGGGAGGTCCCCGCAAATTTTGGACTATGCGGCCCACAAGCCCCAAAGCTCTGGCCTGCCCCCCTCCTCTCAGCCCCACCCTCAAAGACTTCCCTGGGCAAACAGCCCCGTGGAAAGCCCTGGCTCAGCCTCCCACCCCCCCACGCACCCCCCCCTCCTTGTCTGGAAGGAGGTTTGATGAAAATCCAGAAAGTCGGAATTGCAACCTCGGGCCCCCTCCCCCAACACACACAGGTGTGTAACCCAGTCTGTCTGAACTCCGGATAACTTTTAAGACGCTCGCAGGGGAATTCTGGGAATTGAAGTCTGTCACTCCCCCCCCCCCACACCTTCCAGGACTTAAAGTTACCTGGATTCTCTCCTGAAGAAGAGATTGGACAACCCATTCATCTGAAATGGTATATATGCGGCAGGGATGGCTAACCTTTTTGCCATCGTGTGCCAAAAGTGGGAAGGGGGAGAGGAAGTGCAGGGGGAGGTGTCACTTGTGCGCATGCCCACACCCACAATTATATGCGGCCCACCCCCCACGCATGCGCACACGACCCCCCCATGGTCACCCCACTTTTGGCATTTGATGGCAAGGTAGGACCGATTTTCGCTCTCCCCAGGCTCCAGAGCCTTTCTAGGCGGCTGGGGAGGGTGAAAACAACCTTCCCCACTCCCCTGAAGGCCTTCTGGAGGCCAGAAACAGCCTTTTTCCTCTGGAGGCCAGAAAGGGCCCGTTTGCCGACTTCCGGTCCCACTGGAAGGCCCGTTTTTTTGCTCTCCCCAGGCTCCAGAGTCTTTCTAGGCGGCTGGGTAGGGCGGAAATGGCCTTCCCCACTCCCCTGGAGGCCTTCTGGAGGCCGGAAACAGCCTTTTTCTTGACTTCTGGTGGGTCCAAAAGGCCTGAAAATCAGCTGGCCAGCGCACACATGCACGCCGGAGCTGAGCTCACGTGCCCACCAATATGGCTCTACGTGCCATCTGTGGCATGCGTGCCATAGGTTCGCTATCACGGATATAGGGTTTCCTCCTGCCTGGGGAAAAGGGGGTTGGACTAGAAGACCTCCAAGGTCCCTTCCAACTCTGTGATTCTGTTATGAAATGAGTGTGAAATGACCAGGTTGAGAAACACTGTGTTAATCTCTGCTCTTGTGGGTATTTTATTTCTGGCCAGGAAGTGCAGTGATCTTTTAGCTTTTGGATTGTCTCTTTTGAATGGTGTGTAAATGTGGTCCATCTCTATGTGCCCGTTGATGGCCGTTTTGTCTTAGTGCCGCTGGCTGGGGGATTCTGGAGTTGAAGTCCACCCATCTTCAAGCTACCAAGGTTGAGAAACACTGTGTTAATCTCTGCTCTTGTGGGTATTTTATTTCTGGCCAGGAAGTGCAGTGATCTTTTAGCTTTTGGATTGTCTCTTTTGAAGGGTGTGTAAATGTGGTCCATCTCTATGTGCCCGTTGATGGCCGTTTTGTCTGAGTGCCGCTGGCTGGGGGATTCTGGGAGTTGAAGTCCACCCATCTTCAAGCTACCAAGGTTGAGAAATGCTGATTTAGAGGGTCTCACCATTGGTCCCGTTTGCAGTTCTCTGTGCCTAAATACAGGGGCTCCTCGACTTACGACCATTGTTGAGCCCAACGTTTCTGTGGCTGAGTGAGCTTTGCCCCACCTTTCTTGCCGCTGCCGCTCTTAAGTGAATCGTTGCCATTGATAAGTTAGCAACGTGGTTGTTAAGTGAATCAGGCTTCCCCGCTGACTTGGCTGGTCGGAAGGCCGCAAAAAGGGATCACGTGACAGACCCCCCCCTGGGACCCTGCAACCATCATAAATACGAGTCAATTGACAAGCGTCCGAATTTTGATCACCTGACCATCAGGAATCCTACAACGGTCGTAAGTGTGAAAAAAACATCATCAGTCACTTTTTTCCCAGTGTCACTAAATGAATTAGTATTCTGCCTAGCAGTGGAAGGAAGGTGAAAAGACTATAAGAAGAAATATCCTTCTGGGTTCAGCTCCAAGTGGGGAAAAAGACACTGGAAACATGGAGACTGCTTGGAAAGATGGTTTAATGGTGGACAGGATCACATGGCTTGAGTTCCTGAACAGAAAAAAGGGGACGAGATACAGCGAGTCCCCGGGTTTTATGCTCTCTCTGGCTTTGAATTTCCTGGGGCCCCGAAAGAGTATCCTGATTGGTTGTCAGACTCCCAGGGGGTGGGGGTCTTAGCTAGCCTTGCTGGCTGATGTAATCTTCCCAGGTGCCATGTGGTGAGTTTCTGTTGCTAGATGGGTCCTATTGTGTTAGTTTCTGTTGCTAGATGGGTCCTATTGTGTTAGTTTCTGTTGCTAGATGGGTCATATTGTGTTGCAGATGATGATCCATTGACAAAGATTGAGTTTCTGCCTCTGGTCCATTAACTAAAGGTGGGGGCAGGAAGATGGGAGCTGCTTCATCCTTAAAACATGCTTCTCCATTTCTCATCCAAGGAAACATAATATTCTGCCTTTTTAATATTTCCCAAAATATTTCATTCCTCTAGGAAAGTGGTAGGTGCTAACTTCTTACAAGACCACGGACGGGATATGCACAACTCGCAAAGCCATCGACCCCCGAGGATGCTAAGCCAACACCCAACAACGACCCACATCGCAAACCGATTTGACACCATCGCACATCATCCGCGAGAGAGCTGACTTCCCTCGTCACGCCCAAGCCATCAATCTTGGCTTATGATCCTTAGGATGTTGTGTGCGACGCCGTAGCTGGGCAGCTGGCATAACGGGAGACAAACTTAAACTGCACCAAGGCCTTCTGTAATGTTTGAACCCTGCGTAATGTAGGGGAAAATTGGAAAGGATTGGAGTGTGGGTAGCGTTTCCTGAAAAAGATACCATTTCTTTCCTTCCTTCTGTCCGTCTGCCTTCAGCGTTTATCTTCGTTTGTTGATGGTTTAGCTTGTTTCTTTGTTAAATAATAATAATAATAATAATAATAATAATAATAATAATAATAATAATAATAATAATATTTTCCTCTCCATGGGTTATTACCATCTTCTATTTTCAGCTTCTCTGTCTCCGCATGTGTGTGACTCTGTGTGTGTGTGAGATTCAATTGGTACAATCTGTGATTCCTGGTGTGTATGTGTGTTTTTAACAAAATGTGCTTTTTCTTTGCTCTGAGCAGATGGGGCCTTCCAAATGGCATCGGGGGGCACCAAGGCAACGTTGGAAGCAGCCGAGCATGAAGGAGGAAGAAGGTATCTCCGAGATGCCAGCCTAAGAGACTTAGCGGGAGGTTTCGCCCCGGAGGCTAAGCTGGAAAGTCTCTGCAAGGAGACTTAAAACAGCAGGAAGTCAAGGGAGGAAGGGGGGGGGGGGGGGGGGGAGGAGGAGGAGGAGGAGGAGAAAGGGAAGGAGATGGAGAATGGGGAAGGCAGGCGGAGGAAGAGGAGGAAGAGAGAGTGGAGGAGGAGGAAGAGAGGAGGAGAAGAAGAAAGAGGAGGAGGAGGAAGAGGAGAGGGAGGAGGAGAGGGAAAAGGAGGAGGAGGAGAGGGAAAAGGAGAGGGAAAAGGAGGAGGAGGAGAGGGAGAAGGAGAAGAAAGAGGAGTAGGAGGAAGAGGAGAGGGAGAAGGAGAGGGAAAAGGAGGAGGAGGAGAGGGAGGAGGAGAGGGAAAAGGAAGAGGAGGAGAGGGAGAAGGAGAAGAAGAAAGAGGAGGAGGAGGAAGAGGAGAGGGAAAAGGAGAGGGAAAAGGAGGAGGAGGAGAGGGAGAAGGAGAAGAAGAAAGAGGAGGAGGAGGAAAGGGAGAAGGAGAAGAAGAAAGAGGAGGAGGAAGGAGAGGGAAAAGGAGGAGGAGGAGGAGGAGAGGGGGAGAAGAAGAAGGAGGAGGAGGAGGAAGAGGAGAAAGGAGGAGGAAGAAATGGAGGAGGGGAGGGAAGAGGAGGAGGAATAGAATAGAAATAGGAGAGGAGACGAGGAGAGAAGAGAAGAGAAGAGAAGAGAAGAGAAGAGAAGTGAAGAGAAGAGAAGAGAAGAGAAGAGAAGAGAAGAGAAGAGAAGAGAAGAGAAGAGAAGATAGATGATGGGATGGGATGGGATGAGGAGAGGAGAGGAGAGGAGAGGAGAGGAGAGGAGAGGAGAGGAGAGGAGAGGAGAGAAGAGAAGAGAAGAGAAGAGAAGAGAAGAGAAGAGAAGAGAAGAGAAGAGAAGAGAAGAAACAGAGTTAGAAGGGACCTTGGAGGTCTTCTAGTCCATCCCCCTGCTCAAGCAGGAGAACCTACCATCTCA